TATAGCGTGATTGACCATGAATAAAACTTGTTTCTGTCATTGCATTAAGTATATTCACTGAAAGTAGGTTTTGAGACAATCAGTTACTCTTGAAAAAGAGCTCCACCACCATATACTCATATGGTTGAGATTTCCCAAATGACCCATTTTGTTCCAGCATTACTGATGCAGTGGAAACAAGTTAAGGCGTGAATAAAATTCATAACTTCACTACCATCTATCCCCTTGAGTATCTATTGTGTGGTCGTTTGTGTTTTTGTCCAATCCTCGATGTAATAGCCGAGAAAGGGTTTACACGATTTGCCCAAACCTACTCGGACTCAGGGATCTGGGGCAACGAATGCATCTGGCACTCTCCACTGACCGGTTCAGATCGTAATTTGGAACTACCTAAGGCCGGCTCTGCAATCCCATCCTTCAGGAAGTCGGCGTTCGGAAGGAGCTGCTTTGTCCGCGGGACGCCGCAGAGTCTGGAGCTGTCCTCCACATCCACCGAGTGGAGGTTCGGCAGGAGCGGAAGAGTGGGTGTCCAAAATGCAACTTCGGAAGGAGGCGGAAACAGCAGATCTTCCGACACGTGGCAGAACGCGGAGGCGGTTTTCGGACTGACCACCTTCACGGTTGGCGGAGTAGGTCCCGGGGAGGGCAGAAGGAGGCCGCATAATCGGCCGGAGCCGGACGGACCGAGTCGAGGCGTCTGTCGGTATGCCAACAGACTGGCAGCGGTGGCGTCGAAGACCGCGGGCAGAGGTGGGGAAGTGGCGAAATCGGCCCAGGCCGGAACCGCTGAATGTGGGTGGGAAAGTGATTCGAAGTCGAGGGTAGATCAGACAAGACCAAGTTGAACAATTGCAAATATGAAGAGCAAGATGGTGTGTTTTGTTTAAGCTCACAAAGTACTGGAAGTTGCGTTTTCCCACCTGCTCAAAAACGATAAAGTTTATGTGGTGACGAAACGTCTGGGAATGTTCAAAGTCCACTAACCAAAGCTGGAAGGTGCGTCCAAATGGGTGCCAGTGGCAACACGATCAAGTTGCGAAAATGAGGTCGAAACTCTAATCAAACACGAAAAATGTTATTTAACCAAATCTCACCCATTAAGTGAATTTACCCAAAAGACGGCGATTTTTCCGCTTCTCTTCTTTGCCCATGAACACTATAAGGTTGCAGAAAAATACATTCTTGTGTCCATAAGCTCTGTCAGATACTTTTTTGTCACACAGAGTTTGGTCTATGTGGAGATTGAAGCTTGAATAGATGCCAGACGGTCAAAACGACAAATTAAAAGCAAAAGTTACGAGCAAATATTTTACAATAGGACGTACCCACAGAAGCCGAAGAGAAAGATACTAAGGGATAGTACCGCTGGGAGAAGTTTTGCGATAAAGTTAATATTTTCTGGCAGACTTTTCAATCAATTGACTAACTGTCCGTTGGTCAACTGACTCAGGCGCTTAACGACTAAATGCTAGAGTGATTGTAAGAGAATGAGTTAATGACGGGCATATTGAATGAGAGAATGAGAGTGAAATGAAATATAAAAGAATCAATGAGTGAGAGAGGAAGGATGAAGTGAGGCGGAAGTGGAGGATTGTACATGAAAATAGGTAAGAGAGGAGAAGTAGAAAACGAAGGAGTGAGTGGGTAGTCGAGCGATTGGTTGACTAAGTGATTTCGTAAATCAAAAGTGGGTGATTGTGAATGAGTGGATGAGTGTATAGACAAGTAGGGGTGAAAGTAATGAGTGAAAGAGTCTCAGTGGACAAAGAGGGGCAAATTGTTTATTGAAATAGTAAATGATTTAATGGTTCAATGAAGGTATGGTTGATTGGACGATATAATGAATGATTGAAAAAGCGAATAATAAACGAATGAATATATGAAGGAGTGGACGATTGCCTGATTTGTATATCAAGTGATTGGCTGATTGAGTGAGATTGCTGGGGATTATTCGAAATAGCTTTACCGAGTGAACAAGAGAGTTAATAATTTGACCAGTCGTTGAGCGAAGGGGCTGAATGAGCGATTTATTTGAGTTTGTGTTTGTACAAGTGATTGAATTGTCTGAGCGAATGAATGCTTTAGTGAGAAACTGATTTATTGAGTGGGAGTGAATGAGTAAAGAGGGGGTTAATTAATTCATTGGGTAAATGGATAATTGAGTGGATGATTAAGTAGACGAGTGAGTAAATGAG